CAAAATAAGTTGGTGTTAAACTACTATACCAAAAGTGTTTTTAAATAAGTACCGTGTTTCTCCAACAATACGCCTCCCCAATAAAAAGACCCAGCATGTTTTCTAGGCATAAAATGAAATTAAGCCCCTCCCCCCAAATTTAGGCCTAGTTTAAAACATGTGAAATTGGGGGTGAAGGCAGGGGGGAACTTGCCATTAGGAGTGCCCTGTGGGCAGCTACGCCTCACCATCAGCCACTCCTAACACCATGGTGGAGCATGGAGGGCTCCCTTACCCCGCCCTTACCTGGGCCAGCAGGCGGGCGGCGTCGGCGTGGATGTTCGGCAGCGTTTCAGCCGCTTCTCAGGCCTCTGTAGCTTCCACGGTTCCCACCGGTGCTGGCACCTCTCTCGCCAACGCCGTCTCCAACAACAGCATCTGAGTCGCTCCTGCTTTCCCCCCGTCCCCGCAACAACAGGAAAAAAAAACATTTTGAGGTACCTGGGAATGCCGCGCGCTGCGTTTTGGTTTAATCCCGAGCGGCTGGGTGGGCGTGAGAAAAGCCAAGCGAGCATCTCTGCTGCTGCTACCCTTGGTGCTCCAGCCTCGGGCTCTGCAAGTCTGCAAAAGTCCCAGTGCGCAGCCTGTTCCTGCATTCCAAGCACCCAGGCCAAGCTGCAGCTGTCCCTCTCTCGCCAGCGCCGTCTCCAATAACAGCGGCAGCAGTGGCGGGAATTGTGGAAGCGTTTCAGCTGCTTCTCGGGTGGGGGAGCCGCCTCTGTAACTTCCACGGTTCCCGCCGCCGCTGCTGCTGCTGTTGGAGACGGCGCTGGCGAGAGAGGGACAGCTGCAGCTCGGCCTGGGCGCTTGGAATGCAGGAACGGGCTGCGCACCGGGACTTTTGCAAACTTGCAGAGGCTGAAGCTGGAGCACCAAGGTTAGCAGCAGCAGAGACGCTCACTCGGCTCTTCTCACGCCCACCCAGCCGCTCGAGATTAAACCAAAACGCAGCGCGCGGTGCTCCCAGGTACCTCAAAATGTTTTTTTTTCCTGTTGTTACAGGGACGGGGGGAAAGTGGGAGCGACTCAGATGCTGTTGTTGGAGTCAGTGGTGGTGTGCGGGCGGGGGAAGAAATTAATTCACCCCCAAAAAGACGTCCTAGCCATTTTTGGGGGGCTTAAAAAAAAAAAAAAGGCCTGGCCTTATTTTGTGAGAAACATGGTAGTTAGTTTTGATATTGCTGCATACTTCTATAACTTAATTGATTGCTTTTCTATGGAAGGAATTGTTCTTGCTTACTGATCAGAAGCACTGGATATTACAGTCATTACTGTATATAAAAACAGTTCAGTATATTTTATAGGAATATAAGGTTTTGCAATAATTTAGTAAAAGCATGATGAGCTAAAAAGAAAAATCCACGTTTCAAATCTGTTTTTGTTGTATTATAAATCATTTTCCAGAATTGTTGTGACTTAGAATGATGCCACCAAATGGGAAAGAATGATCCAATCTGGCTACAATATTGCATTTCCAGTAGTTTTAAGAAAACAAATTGTCTATTTTAGCAATCAGTACTAGAATAACAGACAATCAGCAGAACATCTTATACTAATTTTCTCTAATACTAATGGTAAAATTGATACTTTTCTGTTGATATTCCGATTGTAGCATATTAGTGGTGTATTCAGTTTCTGTATTACACAGTGCTTAGTTTATTCCCTTTCTGAATCCTCCCTCACCAGCCATATAGACAAATCCCAATAAATTACCTGAGCTTTGTATGATTAGTTTTTTTAATTAAGTCAAATTTTGTAGTGTTCCACCTTGCTTTTGCAATTCATTTAAGAACATATAACTGATCAGTATATATTGAAACCAATGATGAGACTCCAAATATTCTGAAGAGAATTTCGAAGGACTTTAATTTTGTTTTATTAATAAGTAAATCTTGCAATCTTTATGAATTATTATCCCTGTACTGGTAACATTGCTTTGAATGTTCTCCTTCATAAAATTAGATATATCATATTGAAGCAAGAGATGATAAACCTCTTATCCGATTCCTTTTTATTTATTTTTTTAGAAATTCTAAATGTTGCTGCTTTCACTTGTTTCTCTTCTTCAGAACCCACTTTCCTCATAAGTTTTTTTTCACAGATATTTTTGAAGCTGCATAACACATTAAATTCTTTATATCTGCTATTAAAACTGCTTAAAAAGTGTGATGTACATCAAATAATGAAAAAGTTATCCATCTTGATTTAACCAACATCTGGCAAACAAAGAAGACCTATCTATATTAATTTTGAAATCAATAAAAGTTCTTAAGAATCTCAAATAATTAAGTGCATACTTGCTCTGTGTGAGGATTTCATATTATTTAAAATAATTATACTGTTGATATTACAGTGGAGTCAGCTTTCTTTGAGAGATAATTACCAGAAGAGCAACAGTGTTGAAGAGTGCACCAGCTATAGGGCTTCACACTCAGTCCTATGAAGACTTTCCAAACATTAGAATCCTGAAGTTCTAAGCCAATTCAACAAGATGCCCAAGTAGCTGAGATCTGATGGGCACTGGCCTTTAATACTAATGATTTGGTATAATTGCTCTGAGAGCCAATTAAGCATCTGATTCCCAAGGATGTAACCAAGAGTTAATTGAGAGGCGCTTTGGGAGAAAATAGAACACAAGGAAGAAATAGCTGGAGAAAGAAAGAATCCATCCGATACAGAGGAGTAGAAGATTTTTTTGCGGGGGGGGGGGGGGGATCCAGAAAGGCAAGAAAAGTAAATCCTGTGTGAATTTATATAACCAGTGGGAAACTAGGGTGGTTTGGGTGCAGATAAACTTGCCAAACAGCAAATTCAGGGAAGATAGCACATAGATATTTCTGGGCTGTGATTGAGGAGCAGAGGAAATCTCTGGGCACATCAGATTCCTTTTGTGAGGCACCAAATTTAGTATATCATAGTATTTCTTAACTTAGAAAACAAGTATTTTTTTTTGTAATCTATCACTGTTTATATTAAATGAAAGTATTGAAATAAAACATACCTTATTAATAACAGTAAAGCGTATTTTAGTAAAATAATTGTTATAGCTAAGACATTGATTTTAAATTTTAATGGGAATTGTATGTTTCCACATTGGAATATATCTGATTCATGCCTGGACTAAGATTTGTAAATAAAGGTTTAACTCAAATGTATGGTATTTAGTCTTGACTATAATGACAACAAAGTAGCAAAATTATGTTGAAGGGAAAAAAAACATTAAAACTAGCTCCTTGAAAATACTTGCAAAATACCTTCAGAGTTTGGAAATTATGTCGCTTTGTGAGGAAATTAATTAAAAAACATCTTCTGGAATATAAATTTAATCTTTATTTCAAACATAAATTGGTACATATCCAATCAACCCATCTCTTTTTTTCTAATTCATCCTTAGAATTTATAATAGTAAACAAGACAATGTATGCAAACACCCAAAGTTTACCATTAAAAAAAAAATATACCATCCTTAACACCTACATTCATAAATATAATTCCATGGTTTTACAAACGTATATCTTTGATCTCTGGCTTATATTTTATGAGGAACAAATATTAAATAGGTGTGCTTTTCCCTCCTAGGATTGTTAGAGTTTTAATACCCTACATACTTGCAGGATCTTGGCTCAAAAACAATAGTAATAGTGTAATTTTTATTTCTGTATGCTGTACTTGCTAAAAAAAAGAAATTGGATTATATATAAACCAAGACATTCTACTTTTGTATAAGGTGAACATATTCTTAATTAAATAACTGTTAAATGGAAACATTGTGATTTTTCCCCTAATTTGATATCTTATAAACCTATATAATTTGTCTTATCTCAAAGATTTAGGAGTTATAAATTTAATAAATTATGATGGTTGGTCACATAGTCAAACGTTTAGAATGGATTTGGGATTTTTATACATATTGTTTTGTTGTTATTTTCAAAGGGAGCCAAGGTACATATGCATTCATCTCTCTCACAGCCCTCTGTGTAATCAAAGCATTGTAGGAGTAGAAGGGAACGAAGATGGTCATTCTAGGTATGGAGCAGTTGTATTATGGCTCTCTGCTTTTTTATGTCTTATACTCCCTTCTTTCTTTTGAGAAGAAGAAATATCACAAGCTGTAAATGTGTTTCTGTTGCATTTTATGACTCTTATTTATGGCAACAATAGCAGAAATGGCTTGGGATGTAGCAGGGACTATAAGATGAATCGACCCTTCTATGAGATGGTTTAGAATCATTTTCCCAAACAGATAGCAAGAAATTCAGAAAGTCTGCAAAGCCTTTATATAGAAACAGAATACCAAGGGTTACAGTTTTAAAGAGATTATGCCTTCTCCAGGAAACCATATATATAGAAACTATAATTCTTTCCCCTGTTCTCTGGGAATGGCCTATGAATAAGCTTAGAAGGATAGCCATCTCTACGTGAAAGGAATTGGAGAAAAAAAAAGCTCTGAAGATTGTACAAGCAAGTGGAATTTTAGGATTTCAAAAATCATTTGTCTAATAATGTGCTCAAAATGTCATATTAAGACAGTAATTTTACAATATAATCTATAAGCTTTTGACTTTTTACAAATCCCCATCAACTAAGATAGTACTCCAAGTAAATAGTAATATTACTGATTCATGCAGTGCCTAGTGTTAAATCACTTTTTAAAGTTGCCTAAGAAAGAATATGTTTTATCAGGAATCAAGAATATCCTAGTGTAGCTATAGAGGCAGGTATATGAAATAATATCTTCATTAATGGTATCTAGTGAATTAATAGAGTGTGGTTTGAAACTTGAAACCCGGAAAATAATCACTTTTTTATTCTGGAGTTCTTATATGAAATATCAAATAAAATATTACAAATATTAAAATGTAATAAAACATAAAATACAACTTAGAAATGTGGCTTATCAGATATTCTGTATGGATTTTGTGTGTGTTTACAAAAGTATAACAGCAATCATATTTTTAAAGGGCTTCCATGCCAGACAAAGGAATGAAGCTTACCTTGGTAACCGACAAAGAAAAAAAGATTGGCATGACAGAGAGGCTATAAAGAATGATTTGCAGAGAACAGGTCTGTATAACTCAGTCTTAATTCATAAAAGCAAAATAGTACTAAACGCAGTATGCTAAGTGAATATGTGCATGTAACTCAAAAGAAATTACCATTGTTACAGTTTTTTTAAAAAAATCAGCAAGTCTTCGGCAAGTTAGTAGCCCAGAATAGAAATTGAACAAGACTTCCCTCAGTCCCTAATGCTTTATGTCACTGACCACAGACAAAACCCCCACAGAGCCTTGTTTGTTCCAGAAGACAGAAAAAATGTCAAACCAAGGTTCTCATTGTTTTCAAGTTTTGGAAATAACAGCAAAAAGCATGGCATAAGTCCCTAGGAAGCCATTTCTGTATCTGCTTTTGTTAGTACTATCCCACGTCTAACTAGTTGAATGGAAATGCAGGCATAGTGGACAAGGTAGCAGGAAAATAAAAAAAACTAAGACATACCAGTGCTGTGTTTCTTGGAAGTCATAAATGCCCAATACTCCACTGTATAAGCCTATACATAACATTTGAAAATAAAAAAGGAAATGGTAAACATTGTTAAGCAAAACAGTGATAAGCAGATATTTCAAAACAATTTGTAACAAACCAACATGTGCCTCTTGTATCTCCATGTTTTAACAAATAAAAACAGTGTGGAAATGCACCAGCTGTGCCAGTAGTAAACTCTAGTAGTAACAATTCTAGATTTGACTCTAGTACTGGAAAAGAGACAGGTGATAAAAAGGACAAAAAATATGAGTGAAGCTACAGTAGCCATGACAAAAGCACTATTTTAGTCTGAAAGTATAATATATAAAACAATCATATCCAATTTAGTTGTGTTGGTTTTAATAAATGTATTTAGTGATAAAGAAAAAAAATTGGGTGATGCATTAGACAACATAGAGTAAAATGATTCCCATTCGTTTTTTGTTTTTTTAAATAAATGATTTGTCTCCCTTATGTGCTATAGCAGGAAAGCAAACAAATGAATGACATTTCAATATTGTGGTAGAAATTAAAAATCCATGATCATTTGTCAAAATGGAGAGGAGAGAGGGAATTTCATGAACATGGTAAATGGTGCCTTTCTTCTGGAACAGTATCTCCAGGAGGTGTGAATTTTAAATTCAAGGCATTTTAAATATGCCTTGAAAATCTGACTTTTTTTCCAGGTTCTAGGTGAGGGAGGGATAGTGCATCCATCTGAATAGAATTGTGTTTGGTATGTTTGTGGTGTGTCTTTCTGTCAAGCTGTAGATGTTTTTTTAATTGATTTATTACCACCCAGAATCATTGTGAGTTGAGCAGCCTTATAAATTTAAATTAGAAATTATAAGGCATTTTGATTCATCAGGACAAAAATCTAATAAGTCTATTGTGACCTTTTTCAAAAGGAGAAAATTACCTAGATGTCTCTCTTTAGCATTATCCAATATTCATAAACTGTATAATCTGTTTCTTAACTAGAGAGTTAAACAATTTGGGCCGTATTATTAAGAAATCTCAGCTGCAGTCCTAGAATATAGCATAACAAATATTGCCTAGAGCTTTGACGAATGAGAAGGCTGATAAAAGGGCTTCTTGGATTTTGAACATGGATGAAATTATTGCTCTGTTAAATCTGTGCAGTTAAGATATGGAATATTTTAAGATTACTCATTGCTTTGGTTATCTCTGCAGGAAATGGAGAACAAGGAAAACCATATCCTATGACTGATGCTGAGCAAGTAGACCAGGCATACAGGGAAAATGGTTTTAATATTTTTGTGAGTGATAAAATTTCTTTAAACCGTTCTCTACCAGATATACGACATCCAAAGTAAGTATAGAATTTTCTTCTGGTTGGAAGTATGAGTTTTCTTATTTCTATAATTTATTTTCCTGCATTTTCCCTTAAATGCCATTCCAGCTAACATTAACATTTTTGTTGTCAAAGTTAGTTTCAGTTGATATATTAAATATATCTAGTAGCATGACAACTGCTGTTATGCAAAAAAAATTAATGTAAACAGTTTCATGTTTGAAACACACCTATTTGTATTTTAAACATTCTATTTTAAGTGTGAAACAAACATATTTTACTTGAAATACTCTTTCAAGACAAAAATAGTCTCAATATTCAAAATTGCCTATTCCATATTTGAGATGGAGCAATTTGCAGTCATTATGGGGTGTTTCAGATAAGAAAAATTTTGCAGATTGCTGTTGGTGGGTAAAATTCAATAACACAAGATATTGTGTAAATACACCAGTTTCCACGGTTATCAATTGTTTATGAATTGAAATAATATGCTGCTAGTAAACTGGATGTTTAATATTTACATGAGATAATAGAAGTGATTTCTTTAGGTGCTGGAGCAGTGGTAATATTTTATAAATACTGATCAAGATGGTAATTCTCTTCACCTTTAAGCTGCAATAGCAAGCTATATCTGGAACAACTTCCCAACACCAGTATAATAATCCCATTCCACAATGAAGGATGGTCCTCACTTCTTCGAACAGTGCACAGTGTTCTCAATCGCTCTCCTCCTGAACTGATAGCTGAGATTGTGCTGGTAGATGATTTCAGTGATAGAGGTACATCCAATGTATATTATATTTGTTCATACATTCATGACTCAGCCAAAACAATGGTATATACTGAATTATTTTGCACATGTAATACATAGAATACATTTCAATGTTGGGTTTTAAGTGCTTGCTCTGTTGTTTTTTAAATATTAATGCATCTTATGTGCCACACTTACTCGTTTTTTAATGCTAAGAAAAACATTTACTTGAGTTTAAACTTTTTTAAAAAGAGATGCAGAATTAGGTAAGACAGGTGAACCATGCAGAATCAAAATTTCTGAATTAGATAATTATATGTGTGTTTTAATGGGCAGATGTGTATTGAATTATATATTGTAATTTAACATAGTAAATGGTTTTTCTAATTTTGAGGAGTATTGTTTAAGAATCTCATTGGATCAGGACAAGAACACATATAGCCCATGTTCTATGTGACAGATAGAATGTTGACAAGAAGAATTATACTCCTTTTCTTCTATTATTCAGCAGCAGCTCATATTCAAGTAGACCTTCATGAGCAAACAGCCATTAAGATCAGTGATCATTGGTAGCCCAATTCTCCATGAATTTATTCAGTTACCTTTCTAATTTTATAATATCACGTTCCATAGATTAATTGTGCATTATTTGTGGATGTTTGTATAAAAGGCACCTCCTTTGACTATTTCTCCCATTTAGTTTTAATAAATAACCCCACTTTTAACATTGTAAGAGAAGGAGAAAATTCCTTCTCTCAATTGTCCATATGATGCACATTTTAATATACATTTGTATCCCCTTACTGACCTTTACCCTGAATTAAAAAGCCATAATCACTGTGGTCTTTTCTCTTAGATAGCTGCTGAAGTCCTCTAACTGTTTTGGTTACATTGTCTAAACCTTTCCCAATACCACATTAATCTTTTTGAGATATGGTGGACAGAACTGTACATATTATTCCACATGCTATGGAATATATGATTGATATAGGGGCAAAACTATATCGCCTTTTTATTTCCTGTTCCTTTCATAATAATTTCAAGCTTAGAATTTATATCTTTACAGCTACTGTGCAGTGAAGTGACATTTTCACTGAACTATCCATTATGATTCCAAAATCCCTTTCTTGCTCAATTACTTTCAGTTCAGATCCCATGAATATATGTGAAGCATGTGGTTTCTGGGACATTTTGCATTACTTTGCATTTGCTTGCACCAAACTATGCATAACTTACACCTAGGGGAATTATAAAAATACATGTAAGTTTTAATGCCTATTTACATAATAACCAGAGACTCCCAGAGCTATTAAGGGAATTGATAAGTATATATTTTACAAAAAAATAATTAACTTTTGATGTCCTCATCCATATTGGAAAGACCCTTTTGGAATTCTTTGAACTCTCTTTTATATTTTATTGTCCTAAACAGTTTGGCATCAAATATTTTCTTCTTGCCCATACTATTTATGAACAAATTAAATAGTCTTTGTCTCAACACAATCCTACTTTGAGATTATACTCAATTTGACATTTGTATCAGCTCTTTCTTGTTCTGTAGCCTATTTCAGACCAAAAAATGTTTGCTCTCTACTCAGTTGCTGCTGAAATTGTTAAGTGTTTGGTGAGAAATCTTATCAAACAATTTGGAAGTACAAATACACATTATTATAGGATCACTTCTGCCTTTATGCTTTCTAATAATCTTTAAAATGACACATGCTTAGTGGTACAAGCCTTACCCTTAAAAGATTATTTGATTACAGGTAGACCTCAACTTATAACCAGTTGCTTAGTGAGTGTTTGAATTTACAATAGACCCCCTAAAAGGTACTTGCAATCCAGTTCCAAAGTTCCAATAGTTGGAGTTCCCCCTTAGTCATGTAACTGCATTTTGGACACTCAGAAAATGGCCTACTTTTATTGCCATTTGCAGCATCCCACAGTCATATGACCACATTATACAGCATTTTTGCCCAAACTGGCATTTAATTCCAATTTCCCTGTAAAAGTGTTCCATAGTGAACAACTGCTTAATGACCATGGTGTTTGCTTAACAAAGTCATCAAATTGACTTGGACACATGACCCTTTTTTTAACTGTCATGACTTGCCTGGCTCAGTTACGGTCAGAGGTTGAGGACTACCTACATTTTCTCAGCTTTATGTTGTTGCTGTTCAGCTTCTAAAGCTGAGGTAGAACCCCCCTTTTAAACTTCATTGTTTCATTTTTAATGCATCTTTTATCTTCATTTTGTTCCATGCAGAACATCTCAAAAAGCGCTTGGAGGATTATATGGCCCATTTTCCGAAGGTTAGGATTCTTCGAACCAAGAAGAGAGAAGGGCTAATAAGGACTCGAATGCTCGGAGCTTCTGCAGCAATAGGAGATGTTATTACCTTCTTAGATTCCCACTGTGAAGCAAATGTGAACTGGTTGTCACCCCTTCTAGGTAAGAATCCTATTTGAAATCATTTCTGAATGATCAAATGCAGATGTAGTGCCTTTCTGAACAACCAGAGTCTGACACTATCCAAGCCTTCTGGTGGTACAATAAGATTTTGTTGAATTAATGTTACAATATCCACATACTTATTGGTATTCTAGCATTCAAATTACTATGTTTTCCCCATTCAGGGGATGGTGAATACCAGGATAATCAATTATTTCTTTTGCCCTCAATTGAAGGCTGCTCTTCAGTGACATCTCATTTTCACAATTATTCATTTGATTTATAGTATATAGCCACAAAAAACCCAGCCATACAACAATGCAAACAGTAAAACAGTAAAATGATTAAAATCTATACAGCATAATCACCAGGAGAAAGGAACAGTATTATGGGCTTCACACTCCTCACTAATCCCCATACCAGATGGCAAAGCCAAATCATCAGACCCTTCTGAAGGCCATCCAGATCAGGGCCAACCTGACCTCAGCAGCAGAAATGTTCCTTCTCCAGTATCCTACCAAATGAAATAGTGGATGAAACCCACAACAATCTTCTTCCAGGACCTGATGTCAGTGGGGAGAGGCAGTCCCTTAAGTAATTTGGCCCCATACCATGTAGGGCTTTATAAGTTACAAAGTTAATATCTAAGTTATATCATTACATTACTGTATATTGATATTTATAATACAATATTAAGTTACAATACAGTGTAAGCTATAAAGCTTAAAAATCACCTTGAATTGAACTGGGAAACAAACTGATAATCAATTCAGCTCGTAGAGCAGAGGTGTAATGTGTGTAAATCTAGGTGCACACATAATTTGCTCATTCCATGGCATTTTGTACCAATTGAAGCTTCCAAATATTCTTCAAGAGTAGCCCCATGTAAAGCACATTATAGTAATCCATATGGGAGGTGACCAGAATATGAGTGAGGAAGCATAGAGGGAGGATTGAAGAGGGTGCAAGGGAATGTGCAAGAGGCACCATATGGGTCAAGGATGTATGAGGGTACAAGAGGATGCATGACAACACTGGATGGTTGGGGAGGGTGTGTGAGGTTGCAAGAGAGATACAGTGAGGGTTGAAGAATGCACAGGGCCGGTGAGTAGCCAATGGAAACACGAGGAGGTAAGGAAGGGGACACAGGTTGGGGGCACTTATTCCAGTAATTTGCAACCTTTTCCACCAGCCTCCCCATTGACTTTCTGGGGAAGCCTGAAGGGAAGGTTACAAATGGTGATCTTATGATTGTGAGTGCTTGGCAACTGGTGCTAAGTGCGAATCGGTTGACAAGCACCCACATTCTCAGTTAACCATCTGCAAATCTTGCTTAATGACAGCATTGGGAACTGACAGGATCATTGCACAAAGCAATGCAAGCCTGAGATGTTGTGCTTTACAGCCGCATTGCTTAGTGATAGAAATTCCAGTCCAATCAGCATCATTAACCAAGGACTGCCTTAGTTTTTTTTTCTAAGATTCTTTTTTATGTTCTTCTGTAAGTGCGTTATATTGTTACAAATGAAAGTATAAAATGCAAATTTTTTTTAATTCCCCAGACCGCATTGCTCGAAATCGCAAAACTATTGTTTGTCCAATGATTGATGTCATTGATCATGACCATTTTGGCTATGAAACACAAGCTGGAGATGCAATGCGAGGAGCCTTTGACTGGGAGATGTATTATAAGCGAATCCCAATTCCTCCTGAATTACAGAAACCTGATCCCAGTGACCCTTTTGAGTAAGTTCATGAGACAAAGTGAATACTTGCTTAACAAGCCAAGAGGTTGTAGGTTTTCAGACAGATATAATTGCTAGATGTTCTTTCTTCTCCCCTAAAAAAAGAAAAGGAAATCAACAAAGATAAAAAATGGTCAATCACAAATGGACAAACTAAATCATGTAATTATTTCATAGACTACTGTTCCTTGGAATAACATCCCCTTCCAGTTATCAAAATCATCTGTTTTCAAACTGGTTTCAAAAGTCTTGTATCCGTATCTTGAAGCGCCGCAGTGGCGCAATGGTTAGAATGCAGTATTGCAGACTACTTCTGCTGATCACCAGCTGCCAGCAGTTTGGCAGTTCGGGTCTCACCAGCTCAAGGTTGACTCATCCTTCCATCCTTCCAAGGTCGGTAAAATGAGGACCCGCTTAGAGAGGGATGTAAATCACTGTGAAGCAGCATGTAAGTTTAAGTGCTATTGCTATCAGACGTGGTTTCTGCCTCTAAAAACATTATTTCCATTGTCTGTTGGTATTCCCTCAATTATTGGGGTGAAGATTATACTGTGCTAAGCATCAAGACAAATAGTTTGAAAGTCTGTGTCAAAAATACTGTCACTGTCATTATTGCTTCTTCTACTATGGTCAAGAATGTACTCCAGTCAAGAACATACTATCAGGAATGTACATTTGTCTATTATATTCCCTTTCCATTACACATTCTTTTTATAAATTCTAGATTAATACAAATTTTAACACTAAAGAAAAAAATATATGACAGACTAAAGAGCCAAGTAAATTAATAAGTTAATATAGACTATTAAAAGCAAGGAGAGACATTGGTAACCATTATTATTATTATTATTATTATTATTATTATTATTATTATTATTATT